ACTTCCAGAGCCCCCTCATACAATAAGACAACCTCTATCCCAAACCGTTTGCAACAGGGGTGGGCAAAATGCAGCCCAGGGGCCAGCTGCGGCCCGCCAGGCCATTCTATCCGACCCGCGGGGCCCCTAAAAAATTTAGAAAATTAATATTTATCTACCCTAGGCTGCTTGTCATGTGGCCCTCAATGGCTTGCCAGAACTCAGTAAGCGGCCCTCAGCTTGTAAACCAAGGGCAGGCAATTATTTCGGGCAAAAGGGTTTAGTCTGTAAAGTCTTTCTCTGTGGTGATGGCCCATGAGCAAAGAAGAACAATTCATTTGGCTATACACTGAATTTAAAGGGCAAGAAATTTGTAACGATAACTGCAGAAAATGAGCAGATTCAGCCTAAAACGAAGCCACCCAGTAATGCCACTTGGACAGCACCGAACCACACTTTACTGCTTCCTTGTCCTCCATGTCACCCGCCCTTTCCAATCAGGAAAGCATCAATGGATGCAGAAGGAAACAGTGAGGATGCTAGTCTTTTGGAGTTGCACCAGAAGCCCAGCACTCCCTTCAACACCAACTGAAAAACACTCAGTGAAGAGGGCGCAGACAATCGAACCGTCACTGTGGACACATGATAATGCAAGCAGAAACCCAAGGGCGTCACTGAGGACTGCTGTCCCCAGGTCTGCGCAAAAGCATTCCTACAAAAATAAGCATGGAAGGTGGGACCGAGAACGTCAACCATGACAAAACGCAGGTGGACCAGGAGGGCTAAGAGGAGCGTTTGGAAATAGGTAACAGCCTGGGAAGGCTACCTGGGCAAGCGGGCACAGAAAGCTGCCACGGACGTATGCAAATAGCATAGCTTTCCTTTGCGGCGGTGTGCTGCTGGCATCTCTTGGCCTGTGCATCTCCCACTCTGGGAGGCTGGGAAGAGGGAGGGCTGGTGGGAGAAGAGAGGAGAAGTAGCCGGCAGCTCGATGCTGGAAATGATCCGTAGGGCATGCGGACGCTTCAGAAGGCTGCGCACTCCCCTGCACTGAGCGGAGAGGAAGAGCACGCACCGATCCGGGCAGCAGCCGCGCTAGCTCGGATCTTGCGCAGCATGCAGAAAGCCACAAGAAAGGAGTCTGTAAATGCAAGAGCGAAGCCCTTGCAGCACAGCCACCTTCTGGAGGGAGGAACTGCTTTGTTATGCCTAGAAATGGCTCAGCAGGGTGGGAGTGGGCTTTTATCCTTTTACTGTTCGCCGGGGGAAGGGTTTGTGCTTTAACCTGCCCCGTGTTGCCAAGCTCTCTGCTCTGCTTTCTGATCCGTTCCCTTTCTTTTCCTTTGCAGATGCTTCCCATTACCCCTTCCCTACCTAACATTTTATTGCTGTTTGCCAAGTCCTTTTACCAGGGAGTTTTGCTCCCCCCATCATCATGGAGGGGAAGCATGAAAATCAGGTTCTTTTTCAGTAGTTTGGGGCCAAGTACCAAAGGTCCTTTCGTGATGGCTTTTGCCAGATTTGAACCTATGACCCCTTGGTGAAATGCTGCATCCATTTCCCATCTCCTAATCTATAGCCAGTGCACCTGCTATTCTGTCATTTTTCTATTTTTTCCCTCTACCACTGGTATCTTCTGTAAGGAAAATCTTACACAAGATAAGCTGGAAGAGAGCATAAGTCACTGGCCAGTAATGACTCTGCTTTGTATTTCTTGAAGTTTTCATCCCATTCTTTACTGTCTGGCAATTTATCTGGGCCAAACCCAAGGTGACTTTCTGAACTGCCTTTCTGTTTACAACTGCAGTGCCCAAGCTGACATTAATCCACTAATTGGTTTCTTAAGAAAAAAAAAGCAGAGATCCATTACTGCCACTGAAGCAAAAAAAAAAAATCAAACTCTACACTTCTTTACCGTATGTTGCTAGCTTGGATTATCTTCTACATCACATCCATAGCATGCTTTCAATTTGCAGACTTCTCACTGTAGGGTAAAGCTGAAGGCACGCTAATGGGGAAAAGAAGAGCAAAAGCAACCGGCTTCATGTTAACATCGGTGCAAGTGTATGCAAGCAGAAGAAAGAGGCGGCGTGAAGCAGATGTACGCATGCTTCCCATCCAAGACAACATATTTCCATTTTGAATTACGGGGCCATGACTCTCCGATTCCAAGGGAAAAGATTCCTTGTTTCTCCCCCCGCTCTCTTTTGCAATCGAGGCAGTTTAATATAAAACCAGCTCTTTGTCACTGTTGATCATTTTCTTGTTAACTCATCCCCGTGTGTTTTCCTGGCACAGACATGAAAACTGAAGTCAAGAAGATCACCGTGAGTCCAGAGACTTGCATAGTACTCACTCTAGGTATCACGCTGTGGTCAATGGGCAATAAAGAATCGTTTCCACGTTCACTTGCAATGATCCCAGCTGAGCTCTTCTTCCTGACGCCCTTGTTTGTAAAAGCATGCATAAAACAAATCTAGGCATAATGTCTCTTTCCAGGAAGTTACTCCACAGCTAGCGCAGACCGACACACTGTCTGCTTAGCCTAAGGTCTGGATAAAAAACTAATTATTTGGACCTAAGCTTAGCTCTGTTCCTGCAAAGATGGATTTGCGACTTTTGCCAGCTTTCCCTAGAGGACTGCAACCTCCTCTTGTTCCTTGTGAACTTCTGCTGGGCTGTAAAATAACAGCAATCCAGAGAGCAAAAACTGCTGAAGGTTGGATTAAATTGTAATGTCATCTTCTGAGAGACCTCTTGTCAGCTATGCACTAAAAGTGGGCATCCCTTCCCTGATAGCGCAGTGCCACTGAGCCGGAGATGGTGTCCTTGTCTTAGCAGGGAGACCAGAGGGATTTACTTTACTGTTTACTATTTATATGACATTAGTGGCTAGCTATATCCACCATGCCAGGTGCTGTACCAACACAGAGCAACAAAGATTGTCCTTGCCAGAAGGAGCACTGGGAGGAAATTAGGACTCATAGGCACACAGCTATATTAGTTAGGAGTTATAGGCATGCAAAAATATGCACTCATTTTGCCATTTTTGTGAGAGAAGGAAAGAAAGCCCGACTTGGAGAAAAAAAAAAAGGTGTCCTAGTCCACAGAGAGTGTGTCTGAAAAGCGCGCAACCCGCAAGGGCTGTGGCTCGTGCATCTGGGAGCGCGTCTCGAGAGGCACAGAGGCCTGGAGGATGCTCAGACGCCCAATTCCATTATTTGTGGCTTTAACACTAGAGCCAAATCATTCTTCATTCCCAAGATTTGTGGCTTGAAATCAAGTTTGCTCAGGAAAAGAAGAAGAAAAAAAGCCACTCACGTATGCCAAGTAGAAATGACCCCTTTTAGAGCAGAACCCAATGAAATATGAAACTGGGTTGGCGGGACAAGAACTTTTCCATTAGTCAGAGCATGAACAACTCCCCCTAAAAACCCACCGGCTTTCCACTTCCTACAGGGCTCAGAAGTGAGAGGTTTCCCTCTTGCAGAAGTCTAAATATTAATAGTAAAGCTTTGCCATCTATTTGCACCATTTTTCTTTTATTTAAGAAGCTGGAGGACTGCAATGCTTTCTGACACATCAGACACACTTAAGGTAGGGTACCAATGAGAACAAGCATTTTTCTACAGCTCTAATGCACTTTAAAACATCTCTTACCTGGAGGTCAGGGACAGCACAGGCAACATTTGTTCAGTGCGCGCACAACTGTAGCATCAGCTTCCCGCAGAAGACGCTGGGACTTCCCGCTCCTCAGGACTGGGCGGTAATGCAGATTTCATGTCAGGCTTGTTCCAGGTCTCCTGAGTCAAAGCGGCCGCTGTGCTGGAATAATGCTTGGTTGTTCTGTGCTGGATATTTCTTCCTGACTGCATGTCTTGCGCAAGGACACAAATGTAATGTCAAAAGAAACCGCTTTGATCATGTCCTCGGAGGTTAAATATTTTATATTGTGCTATATTAGGCCGGCGTGCTTCCATCTCAACATGCTTCTGGCTTTTTTGTAAGGTCTGCTGGTCAGGGCAAGGGGCCAGGAGCCTGGATTGCTGGGTGCTATTCCCAGTCCTGCTACTGATTTGCTGTGCAGCTGCACAAGGGCAGGATATCGCAGCCTTGGGTCTGCATTTGCCTCTCCCTGCCAACTGCCCCCAAAGCCCTTGGCTTGTTCCTGGTGTCCCTTAGTAGCAATGTTGGCCCAGAAAACTGAAGAGGAACATGTCACTTAAGCACATTTTGTCTGTTTTGCAGTCCCTGCTGTCCCTCTGAGCCCCCTGCTATCTGCTGCTTGAGTCCTGGGTCTCTCCAAGCATACCTTCAAACTCTGTTCTCCTTACAGACCCCAGCCCCGTCCCTGCCCTTTCTTCTTCTCTCAAGATAGGCCCCAAATGCTAGCTCACTTCTGAATTCACTCTTTTGCCATCAAAACACCATCTCTCTCACTTCAGATTTCCCAGAACTGATTTTTTTCCCCCTTTCACAGAAAGCTCAGCCTCCTGTAGGTGTACCCGCCGACACCAGTCACTGTCAAGACTGAACAGCTATTAATCTTTAATATTGAATGATTGTCAGCTGTTTTAAGATCCTTGGATTTATAGTGCCATCTTAAAGTAGGGTATTTATGGTAGTACACCTTCCTAAGGGGCAACACTCAGGTTTATGTACTAAACGCCAAGGGGATCAGACAGCCAGGACCCCCATCGTGAGTACACAAGGTGGGATACAAGAGCCAAATATCCACAAGAATATGCACATACTTGTGTGTCTAACTCGTATTTGCAGTCAACATAATCTTAGTAATTAGGTGGGTAAATTATACACACCTAGCCAAATGTAAGAAGTGCCCGTGGGTAATCTGGGCTGCAAAGTAAAGTGTCTTAGAGGTATAGAATATATTGGACATCATTCAAGGATCAGGCAGTTGCCTCCTTTAAACAAGAAACAAAAGCACCTGCATAAAAATGACATCCTCCTGTTGCAGTTGCATCTGGTAGTATTGCGTCTTACCACAATTAGCTGAGACGCGTTATTAGGGACACTGCACAACACTTCCTAGCCATGTTGGTTAAAGTGCACTCGCCTGCACAGCGATATGAATACTGTATCCCTAAAACCCCCCCCGAAGGGGCACAACATAGCCATTGGTTACTGGTGAAATGCACTGGTCGGCTCTTACTGACGTTGATTAAAATGGCATTGCTTTTTTATTTTAACAAGGCCTGTTTTGACAGCAGGAAGTCTGGTAACGCTGTGAGTTGATTTATGTAATTACACACTCAGTTTACACTTAATAGGCTAGGTACTGCCTGTAAAAAATTAAATCACGATTAATAAAAAGCACATTTCACTGAGGTTTTTAGATGCTCTTTACATTACCTGGTGGCTACAGTCCAATCAAGGTGGGTCTCACAGAACGGCACTTGTTTTGTCACCTTTCATAGTTGAGATAACTTAAAGTACTTCAGAAAGTAATGAGTTGGCTACAGACAACGTAGGTTAACGATGCGGCCATTATGTACTCACCAATAAAGCTTCCACACAGCCCTGGATATTAAAAACCCATTTTTAGTGAGCATGGAAATATTGGCAGGGACAGGCCTCTTCCACTATAAACTTCCACCATAGTAGCTTCCAGCAATGGACAGAAAGGGACTTTCACCTCTTGATAGAAAATTGAGGCCTTGAAAAGTACAGCCTCTCACTGCAGTCATGGTGGGCATTAATCCTTGCATTTGTGCTCGCAACCATTTGTCTCAGAGGGTAAAGTACCTGCAATGGAGCCACAGTAACATATCATCATAAACCAGAGTCTAAACAGCAGGTGTGGATACCTTGGGATAGCAGGAGCTGTTCTAGACATGGCCGACATGCCTGTCCCTTCCAAGGGGTACAAATGAGGCTGCACATTTGTCTCAGA